AATGTTACATGTAATACTATTATTCGTTATATTGAATTGGATCAGATTGGGTCAATTTGGATAGGTTGATGGATATTTTGCCAGCCTATGTGCATGAATGTAGAACCTTAATAGTTTCAAGTATTATGTGTGAAAAGAATGTACTTTTTATATTGGGAAAAATTCATATTTCAGGTGTATTCTTTACACCATTTCAAAAATTAGGTAAGAAGTTTGAAAATTCAAAATTCAAATTTGTATTTAATTAATTTAAAAAATTTATTAAATAAATATATTATAGTCACAGTTAAATAATTAATGGTCACAGATTTATTTACTAGTTACATATCATCAAATTAATTGGTCACGAATTCACGAATTCATTTACTGGTCACATATAAAAAAAATTTATAGGTTACAAATAATTTCAAGGTCACGGATCAAAAATTTTAGAGGTCACATATTTTTTTTAGTCAGGGATTATCAAATTTTAGGGTTACAGACCAAATTGTTGAGGTCACAGATTGTCAAATTTTAAGGTCATATGCCAAATCGTTGATTACATATACCAAATACTTCATTGCCGAATCCAATTTACCACTAATAATTGGTCACAAAGCAACCAAATGGTCACCACCACCACCAACAATGTCGCCACCACTAGTTCCAACACATTGCCAACAAAAATATCACAACTAACACTATCAGATCCATACACACAGAACTCACACAAATCAGCACAAATACACCACAGATTGGCCACCTCCACCACCTGCGCCAACGATCGTCGTCATCGCCGTAGCCACAACAATAATCTTAAAACCACCAAAAACATAAAATCCCTGCAGCCTCGATCCATGTCATCACCATGCCGCTATAGCCATTGCGCACAGCACCACGCCGAGATCTTCCTTCCCCCCACAAAGCCTCACACCTCCACTACCACTGCAATCACAAAACTAAGATACCATCACAGCGCGCCGCTCCACCTTCTCCGATGGCGCCACTGCAAGGCGCCAATCAACCGACTAGAATAGAGAGGGTGTGGGTAGGGAGAGGGATAAAGATGGAATGGAGAGAGGGAGGTAGAAGGGAGAGAGATCTAGGGTTTGCTATATGGGAGTTGAAATCGGCTTCTATTGTGTTTTAATTTAATATTTAAATATATAATAATTAAACTGAAACTTGAGATTTGCATAAACAATTTTGGAACCTGACTCTTGCACTGGGATGTCCAAATACATGTGATTCTATAATTTCTTCTTTTATATTTGGTTTTGGGGCTCAGGTGATGGACCTAATTATTCCACTATTTTTCCCCCAAAAAATTGATGGGCCCATTGATCTGGCTGGCTGTAAACATGTTTCAATTGACTATGTTTATTAGTCATAACATAATTGTAATTATAAATTATATAATATTGTGATCTCAATATCTATTAAATAATAAAATATATTTTTAATTAATTATTTCATAAATAAAATTTAATTAATATCTGATTTTTGAAATAATAAACTTTGTTTTTTAGTTTTGAAAATGGGTCATGCTTCATTTCTTAGATGTAAAATTGTCCCTACAAATAATCTTACGATATTTACATCTACCGTACGGGTGAACCGTACAAGTGTAAATTTAATTTTTTATGTCTATAATATGTTACAACCTATTATTCTTTGAATTAAGTTTTGTTGCAAGATGAATTTGACATCTTTGTTGACAAAAGATGATGTGTAAAAAAAATCATTGGATGACATTGTTGATTATTTTTTAAACAGCTTAATGAAATTCTGCCACGTGGCATTCTGTCATTTAGAATGGAATCCAAGATCTTAATTTAGCATAATTGTTATTCCTTATATTGAATCGAGTTAGATTAGGTCCGTTTGTATAGGTCGGCGGATAATTTGCCCACCTATGGACAAATTCTCCATAGGTGTATGAATGTAGAAGCTTAGAGTTTCAATTACGAGTGAAAAGATGTACATTTTATATTTGGTTTTGGGGCTCAAGTGGTGGGTCAAATTATTCCACTATTTTTTCCCAAAAAATAAAAAAAATTGATGGGTCCATCCATTGATCCGGCTGACCATAAACATGTTTGAATTGATTAACTTACTTGTATTTAAAAAAGTTATTTTAAGAGTAAATTAATTTTTTTAAGCTTAGCCAAACATGTACATAGTAGCTCGTCTTAAAAGGCTTTCGAACAGTCGAATGCTCCCAATACCCATCCTATGCTCCATGAAATCAAGAGCACTGCATTCACAGCATAATTAGACTGCACATATCAAAAAGATAGTCCGTCAAACTTGCAAGATTTATCACATAATCACAGTACTAAGATTTCATAGTCGTATGAATAATGTATTTTGGACAAAAACACGGTCATCTTCATTCTCCATGTTGAACATGGACTGATGCTTCACTATTAATTGGATTTTAGCTCTTGTTGGTGGATTGTTTTCTTTTGGGTCATAGGTGGACTCGTTACTTAAGACCCAAATGTTGGATAAGCATGTTTTGGTTACACAACTATGACTATTTGTTTACCATTAATCTAGGTCGTTCATCTGTTTAAATTACAGTCATTGGATTTATGTGTTTTGATGAAGTATATATAAGCCTCTCTCTCTCTCTCTCTCTCTCCACGTCGCTTGAGTTTTCATTCTCGAAGTTTATAGGATTCTCTCGTTTTTGAAGGTTTTCTCTCTTTTTGTATTCTTCGTGTTCTTTTCTCTAAAAATCTCTATGTGAAGATTAAAGTTGTTTTGGTAGGCAATCTTTGAGAGAATAGATTGTAAAGTTTACTTTCTTTTGTATTTTGAAAGATAGGCGAGAGAAATTGAAGAAACTTGCGTTCACTTCATACATTTGTACTGTTTTTGGAAAATTTCTTAGTAAAATCGAGCAATATTTACTTGTAGATGCTTAACATGTGAATAGGCTTTCTAAGCTGAACATCCGAGCCTTTGTGGCAAAAAATCTCTTGTGTTTATTTACCTTCTGTAATGTTTTGTTTGAATTTTTCAAATAACGATTCTGAGACCCAACACTCCACAAACAAACAAAAGCATGTGCACAATTAGACGAGTCGATAAGAACCTTGTATTCAATGTGAACAAACATTCGGTTCAGAACTTTACTCCAACTGCTAGCATATAAAAACATAGAGTAATGCTACTTAACTCTACTAGGATTACAACATCAGTCTAAGTGGCATTAATATGACATTAAATGATAGGTAGAATTAAATAAGTCATTTATTTTCGAATGAATTGTCCAAATTGTCACTGAACTTTGCAAAAAGTTTCTAAGGGGTTATTGAATTTTAAAAATCACTTAAATGGTTACTGAATTTTGCAAAAAGTTTCTACAAGGTCACTGAACTTTAAAAATCACCTAAATGGTCACTGATCTTTGAAAACCTTTTACAAAGTTCAATGACCACATTGAAACCTTTTACAAAGTTCAATAATCATTTAAGTGATTTTTAAAGTTCAGTAACCTCGTTTAAACCTTTTGCAAGGTTCAGTGACCATTTAGGTGACTTTTAAAGTTTGGGAACCCCTTGAAAATTTTTTGCAAAATTCAATGACCATTTGGGCAATTCACTCTTTAATTTCACATTTCACTTAGCCTATCATCTAGACTATGATTGTAACCATAATGTGGCTGCATGACATTATTCAAAAATATATGACCAAAAGGGTTGGAAGCTATCAAAGCATGACTTCTATAATCGGCATACTACTATGGGCTTAATCTTACAGTTGAGATTAGGCAGCATCAATGAAGCAGATTTCACATATTCACGTACCAAACCATATGCCTAGATAAATAGGCGCCGTAAAATTCACAAAAATCAAGAGAACGGCCCTTGTCAATCTTCACAACTCATCAAATAGCAGTGGAGGATCATTCCTTTCATTTCGTGATCCCGTGTACTAGCCTCTTCAACACCCTTTCATTATTCCAAGATTCATTGTTGAATGCATTGCAATGTCCCGATGCTCCATCCCAATTTTCACAAGGAGCAGCTACATCACATACATAACAGTAGCACTGCATAAGCAAACATGCTATTGAATATAAATAGAGCATCCAAATTTTTTAGGGCAAAACCATCGTCCAAATTACTCATCAACAACATTACCAGTTCACAGTAACTGATGTGAGGCGTCTTCTCAAAAGAGTATTTCACACAATTGTGCCTCGAATGAGGGTAATCTCTACATGCCACCTATTCAGGTAAACAAAATTTATAGGGCAAAAGGTAAGTTCATAATGAAAACAAAATGTTCATGTTCAAGTCTAGATATTGCTTCTCAGTATATACTTCCACAATGGCTCTGAATGCTCTACGAAAAGCTAATTTTCGTACTCATCGACTTGCATATCAACCAACCCACATTATTTTGACAACCTTTACTATATGAAATGTCCTAAAACTAAATCGTTTAAATCCTAGGTTTGTCGTACCATCTATTTCCACAAACTTCAGATATAATTCCTAAGATTCAAGTTGCTGAAAAAACTACATGTTTCATACTAGCATCAAATGTACACAACTAATGCTCCAAAACAAGCACAGATAATGAATGGTGCAACTAATTCAAATTCCAATTCACATTACAGAAGAATTCTACCATTAAAATTCAACTTGCAAATATTTTTTAGCTCAAACGAAATTTAACCAATGAGTCTTCAATTCACAATGCCTATTATCCAGTGAGCATGAGTAAAGTTTCTCAAAATGACATTGTATAAATAAATCATGCCTCTGATATATGTGTATGGTTCAAATCAAAAGTTCACAAAACACTTATTTTAACAATATGCTAGTTCAAAAATCATTGATACCCACATCATGTTTGGCTATGTTACAATGTTCATGGTTATAAATAAGTAATTTTGACATTACGATGGAGTTATTCAAACATGTCTAGAAATAAAATTTTACTCAAGGGCAACTTTTACTTTTAAGTTTAGCCAAACATGCTCTCAGAATCAAGAATAAGCAATTCACAAATAAATCGTACTTCGATATAAGTGCATAACTCATACTTATGGACGAGAATCATAAGATTATTGAGGGATTACCTGGCCTTTTTCAGCAAGAACATGCAAATCAGGGGAATAGCCACTTTCAGTATTCTCAGAAGCCGAAATTTTCGAAATATCGAAAGCATCATTGGGATCAAATTCCAAAATAAAACACTCTTCCGTCTTCTCGAAATTCTTAATATGCTCTCTGTTTCTCACACAAACAATAGATCTTAATGGAGTGCCATTTTTCTGGGACACAGGGGAAGGGCAAGAATCATCTATTTCTATTGTTTCTACTTGTTCTTCTTCCATTTCTGAAAATTTCCTTTTGGTCATTCTTCCACTTCCTTTGCCCGTGGTAGGGTGGGGTGGATGGGGGTGGTAGAGGGATGTGCTTGAATGTTGAAGACGTGGAGGTTTAGATCCTGATTTTGAAATTTTGAGGTAGCCGGGAGAAGTGAGAGCAGAGTTTATACGGGCTGATCATGACTGTTTAAAGCCCAATATGTTCAATTAAGAAGTGTTCAAAATCAATTGTGGATTTTGAATTTGAATTTTTAGTCTACTTTAAAGGTTAAATCCTAACCTTAGGGGTTCTCCACCACCCCTGTCTTGGAGCAATTTTTAGTCTACTTTAATTTATACTAATCATGAACTAAGTAATATTTGTCCGTCCTACAAAATATGTGAATAAAAATTAAGTTACAATCAATGCAAGATATGCTTTAAATGGCATTTGAAGTTAGGAAATATGAATAATTTTATACCCCTCCCCACCTTGTTGTCCAAAAAGCCCAACACGAGGGGGATGGAAGACCCACCTTGGCCCTGATTTACTATCATTCTTACCGCTCAAAATTCCCAACATTCACTTTTATACTGGTTGGACCAATTGGTAGTCGATAAACGCTTTATTTCATCATAAGTAATCTTTTTTACTAATATCAATTGATAAATTAGTCGAAACTCAAATATAATGTGTAACCTGTGATACTATCTTATTGATTTTTAAAAGTGTTCGATTGGAAATTGATATAGATTTTTTGTTTGTTTGCAAGGACGTATATCAATCCTTGAACCCTTAACTTTAATTACGAGAAATTCAATCTCTAACCAATCAAGATAAACGAGAATCGATACTAGATTTTTTAATAACCCATTCAATTGTATCATGAACTAAGTAATATTTGTCCGTCCTACAAAATATGTGAATAAAAATTAAGTTACAATCAATGCAAGATATGCTTTAAATGGCATTTGAAGTTAGGAAATATGAATAATTTTATACCCCTCCCCACCTTGTTGTCCAAAAAGCCCAACACGAGGGGGATGGAAGACCCACCTTGGCCCTGATTTACTATCATTCTTACCGCTCAAAATTCCCAACATTCACTTTTATACTGGTTGGACCAATTGGTAGTCGATAAACGCTTTATTTCATCATAAGTAATCTTTTTTACTAATATCAATTGATAAATTAGTCGAAACTCAAATATAATGTGTAACGTGTGATACTATCTTATTGATTTTTAAAAGTGTTCGATTGGAAATTGATATCGATTTTTTTGTTTGTTTGCAAGGACGTATATCAATCCTTGAACCCTTAATTTTAATTACGAGAAATTCAATCTCTAACCAACCAACATAAATGAGAATCGATACTAGATTTTTTAATAACCCATTCAATTGTTATCATGTCTTTTTATTTCTTGCGGACACATGTGAAGCATGTGTGTGTATTTTAGAACACTAGTAAATAGCAGTGTGAATTAATTTTTAGCATATTACTAGATTCACGTGTAATCAATTCTGTTAATCAAATTGATAGATATTGTGAACATAATAATCAATCGGAAATAAAGTTTAAATTCGGTGACTGACCAACGTAAATCTCAACAAAGAATGGACTATTGGTTAGCTTGGAGATTCTTAATGATCAAGTTCTTGTTTGAATATTTTTATTTTTTATTTTTTCAAAAGCCACTTTTTGGCAACTTGGAGATTCTTAATGATCAAGTTCTTGTTTGAATATTTTTATTTTTTATTTTTTCAAAAGCCACTTTTTGGCAACTTGGAGATTCTTAATGATCAAGTTCTTGTTTGAATATTTTTATTTTTTATTTTTTCAAAAGCCACTTTTTGGCAACTTGGAGATTCTTAATGATCAAGTTCTTACTTGATTTTTTTTTTTATTTTTTTTTTCCTTTCAAAAAAGTCCCTTTTCAGCAACTTGATGATCAAGTTCTTGTTTGATTTTTCTTTTTTTTCCCCCCTCCATAAGTCATTTTTCGGCAACTTGGAGATTCTTAATGATCAAGTTCTTGTTCGAAATTTTTTTTTTTTTTTCAAAAATTCATTTTTGACAAACCTATTTTTAATCACACGTTCTCCTAATAAAATTTATAAATTGAACTCATAATTTTTTTTCCTTTTTTTTTTTAACCAACATTCTTTTATAAGCATACTTTTCATAAATTCACATATAAGAGGTGTTTGTGCAAAAATCGTAAGCGTACAAAATCGTTGACAAGTAATAGATTTAGTGAGTTAAGAGTATCGTCCCACGAGGAATAAAATTTAATTGAGTGTAGTGATCTTTAATTAGATTTAAAGTGAACAAATAAAATTGATTTGAGGTTTTTAATTAATCTAACCTAATCTACGAAAGTTTCTAAAATGCAAATTTAATATGTATATGGGAAAAGTGTATTGGATTACGAATCCACCTATTATTATCTATTTCAATACTTAATTAAGTAACTAGTTTTGTTCTTATATTCTTGACAATCGATAATTCTATTGTAAATAGTTTTCTTTTCCAAGACAAATTAAATATATCATATTCACGATCTGAATCTATTTCTAATCCGAATTCGAATGAATAGAACGCATTCATTTTTACAATTATCTCAAAGATTACACATGCGATAAATCTTATTCCTAAAATTTATTGTACACATGTTAATCAAGCAGTGTTCTAGACCTATTGTGAGCCTCTCAGCACTACGACAAGCAACCATTTATTTAATTGGTGATCAAGCAATCAAATAATAACATTAAGCATGTAAAATTAATCAAGAATTGCAAAAATTCAACTAAGCTACGTATCTTGTATTAACACTAAATAATAAAGGATTTCCTCTTCGTCCAATACATGAAAAAAATTAGCCTAACATAATGTTGGAATTAAACACAAAAAATGGAAAGATATCATCGGAATTTGACAAAACGTGAATTTGTTTTCCAATATTTATAGGCTTCTGCACGTGTCTTCTGCCTCCATCTTCCGTTCCGTGTGTGTGTAATATATACGTGTAATTGCAGCTGCCCACCACTTCTTTTCCTCCAAGCTGCTCCGAATTGTGTGTTGTAGATATATAAAAATCAGCAATAAGCCCCAATGTTTTCCTCCAAATTCCAGCCGCTGAAGTATGTATATACATAATCACCCAATTCTAGCTCTCCAATTTCTCCCCAAGGCAGCCGTCTTTAGTGTGTATTCTCATTTGGCAGCCACCTAATTTTTACTCCAAAGAACTCCAATTCAACCCCGTTAATTCTCACTCCCCCTTTCTCTATTGGCCTGCACATAGGAAGAATTCATATACAAGAGTTATGTATAGGCCATTTCCACATTCCACAAAATCAGCATGACTTACCAAAACCAGCAAAACTCTCCATAAAAAATCATCTCTCCAACTGATTTCAAAAGCCATAGAAATTCGAAATTATTTCCAATTTACCGTCGACTCTCTCTAAATTGATGGTAAAAGCACAGTTCAGATCACAAGTTGCAGTCACTAGGTCGCATTACATCGGATTAAAACATGTGTCTGTCGAACAAACCCGATACGTTACTTCCAACTGAATTCAGAAAGTTTGCATTCATCAGGTGTGTAATTATTATTAATTAAATGTAATTTGTCGTTTATTCCTACTCACCAAGCATCGATCGATGAAAATGTGGTTCTATGCAAATGTGGATCACGTCATAATTGGGGAGCATATCTCATTTATCTGGAAATTGTGATCATGAATATGACTCAGTGATGTTTGAAAGGTGTTGTGACCATTACACACAACCTGCGACCAGGATGTAACCTTATGTAGTCATGGCGCGTGGGTGTTGGTGTCTCGAAATGTGGAAAATGAATTGAATCTGTGACGTGATATTAATACTGTTATTTGAATCTAATCATATGCAATCTACACTTTGTAATCGTGACTCAATTCTTCATGTTTTGTGATTTAATACAAACATCTGACCTGCATGTACTCAATATGTGACCGTGATATTCGAGATTCGACATACATTTGTTGTGAGCTGTGATCAATTAACAAAATTGTGACCATAAGCTTAGCTGTGACTAATATACAATGACCTGTGACAAATATATAGTGACATGTGACCAATTGCAAAAAATCTGGAAAATATGAACATGTGACCAGTGACCTACATGTATTCAATATGTGACCATGATATTCGAGATTCGATATATGTTTGTTGTGACTGTAATTGGATGTTTCACTGATTATGTTTCGGTTCATTTTACAGAAATGGGGTTCATTCAAGTTTGTTTGTTGAATAGCTCACAAATGTCGCTAGTGTTGATTGATCGTAGTTGTGGGTGTTTGAGGCTTATTGATACAGTTATGAAAGAGTTTGGCTTGGACCCTACAAAAGTTGCTGTGGCAATGAGGTATGTCTTGAATAGTGATGTGCCTCCGATAACAATCAAGAGTGACAATAATGTGTTGTTATACATGGTTTTGAAGGATATGAATCGTGACCCTACCAAATATCCAATTCATATTGAGGTTACAACTGCAGATAGCAAAAAACAGTCTGTTGCGTTATCAGTTGATGTTCAATCTAATGAACATGGATTTTCATTAACAGATATGTCATCAGAAATATGTGGAGCAATAGTTGATCTATCTAGTGACAAGTTCGAACGTAAGGTCATAGTTCTGGTGATCGTAGATGCTAGAGAGGTAGAGGAATGAAGAGTTTTTCGTAACAAGGAAATTATGAAATTAAGCTTGTCGTTTTATGCAATCCAACATATGTCTGAATATGTGGTGGTTTGATTATCTCGTCAAATGTTCACGTAACGAGTGTAGTTGGACATGTAGAGCATCAAAGTTAGCCATAACAGATATGTTTAAAATCAAGCATATTGCAAAAGGTCACACATGTGCTGCAAATATCGTACTCAGTACTCATAGGCAAGTAACAAAGACAGTTGTATTAACCTACATTAAGTACAAGTACACATTGTCATGCACCATATACACGCCGAATGATATACGTAACGACATGCAGCATACATATAGAGTATCTTTAAACTATGTCAAAGTTTGACGATCTCGAGATGAAACTTTGAAAGTACTAAGGGGTGATCCAACTTATTCATTCAATAAGATACCAGCATTTTTTTCCGTGCCATAACAAACAAATCCTGGATTGGCCACAAACTTAGAAATTGATGGTCACAATAGGTTTAAAATGGCAATTGAAAACATGTATCCAGGAACTTGTCACGGGATATGTTCATACTATCTACTACAAAATCTGAAATCACGTTACGAGATATCGGGACAAAACATAACACAAGCATTCAATACAATTGTTCCCGTTTACACATTGTTGGAATATGAATATTTTATGCAATAGCTCAACTCGATTAATAAGAAGATAAGGGGTTACCTGATAATATACTATACATTATCGACAATCTATATTCATTTAAATATATTTGACATGATACTGTACACTATATGATATACGTCTCCATGTTTTTGTTTCTATGATGATGTTGGACTTGAGAGATGGTTACGTTTCCACATGCCTTCAAACCGATATTCCTCAATGACATCAAATATCGTATGGTCAGTTGGTGCGATTATAAAATTTGCCAATAACTTTCGTATTTTAGTTTTGTTAGAGTCATTAAAACAAATTCTGCAATCTTGGTTCTGTAAACACAAGGAGAACGTGCAAGGTACTTTTACGACTTTGTCAAGCAAGTGTGAGAAACATATGAGGGAAATGAGCATAGATATGAGAAACTTGAGGGTAAAGTTAAATACCGTGACATAATCTTTAATCTGTGACTTACCAAAATTGATCTGTGATCAACG